TGTTTCTGGGCAGATCTTAGTGCTGGGCAGGACTAGCACTTAGCAGCCTGAGCAAGGCCTCTCCACATCTGGCAGTTTCAGCCACCCAGGGACCACGTGTGTACTTGGTCATCTTTCAGACAGGCCTGCCTGGAGAAATGGACTCCTTGCCCACAGGCAAGGAAGCAACTCTTGGTAGCCTACGCTTGCCCTCAGGAGAAGGGGGCGTCGGATGTAAATCAGCAAGTGTACAAGAGTGGGGGCAGAAGAGGGGGAGGGGGGGCTTTGACCAGGGCCTGCTGGGTCAGGGTGACCTGAGGCCGTTCATGTACCGCCCCAGATGCTGACTGCTCCATCGGAAACAGCAGGGGTCTTGTCCTAGCGCTGTCCGAACCTGGTGTGAGCACCTCGTTCCTTCACTCGCTTAGCAGATTTCCGTGCTCGGAAGAACTGAAAGATACCTTCAAAAATTGTTTCCCCAGCCAGGCTGTGGTGGCGCACTCCTTTAATCCCAGCACACTCAGGAAGCAGAGGCAGGCGGATCTCTGTGAGTTCCGGGCCAGCCTGGTCTACAGAGCGAGTTCTAGGGCAGCCAGGGCTACACAGAGAAACCCTGACTGGAAAAAGAAAAAAGAAAAACTGTCTTCCCTCTGATTGTCCACTTTCTACTCTTGCTAAAGATGCAAAACATGTTTTGTCCCAGAGGCTGGAGCAATTTGTTTTCCAGCCTCTTGTCAAGAGGATGGAGGGGCCTGTTCGAGTCTTCGTGGGGAGTCAGGAGAGGGCAGTGATACAGGACGATGAGGCCTCAGGGAAGGGGTACTGAGGGAGGAGCCTGTCCGCCAAAAGCTGGGGTACGGGGGGCTAAGGACAGATCTCAGAATTCCTTCACTCTCCTCGCCCCCCTAAAAGATCGAGATGGAGTAGCCCTACCTAGACTGTCCAGCCTTGCTCCCCTCTGCTCTGGGCAGCCTCTGCAGCCTCTGCCACCCCAGCTCTGAGGAGGCTCTGAAGACATGTAGCTGTTTCTCCCCTTCCTTCCTCCTGTGAGGTAAGAAGCAGCTGTCCATGCGGGTTCCCTTCCCCTATTGCTCACTTCAGCTGTCCTCCTGAACCTGAGTGTCACCGAGGTGACATCTCTACCACTCCATTTGGTGACCCTGGCCTGAGAGGCAGAGCCTCAGACAGGGCCTTGCTCCAAGTCTAGATCCCTCCTGATGGTACTCCTGGACCAGCAGGGGATTCCCGGCGGGTTACTTCCCTTACAGAGCTTTTTTTTTTTCAATCTAGTCATGGATGTGGGTAGGGTAAGGATGCCCTAAGAGGTGGTTGATGAGGTCTCCAAGGCCCACTGGGAGACAGCAAGCAGGAGCCCAGGGCAGATGGGTCTGCCTGTCCCTCCTTCTGGCTCTTCAGCAAAATAAAATGTGGGTCCCTGCCCTTCCTCCACCGTAGGACCGCGGAGGGCCCGCCCTGCCTGGCTGTGGGTGGCTGGTTTGACTTTGACTTTATCTGTGTTCTCGGGTTTTTCTATAGAAGTAGGGCGTGCCTCCGGCTGGATGTGGTCACCATTGATAACTTGCCCCCTGGAGCTCTTGTCCTGCTTGGAGTGGGTGGGGACTCCTAAGATAGCCCGAAGTGGCCAGAGGGCCCCCTGGCTTCCAGCTTAGGGAAGCAAGAGAGCCCTCTGTTGAGGCCGGGTGACCCCTTACGGAGGCCCTGGCTGAGGGAGCCTGGCCCTGCCGGGGCCTGCGCCTGGCGTCAGCTTCTGGCACGGATCTTGTGTTGGTTCAGGAACTTTCACTTTTGTCCCCTGGAACTTCCCCCTGCCGGGAATACAGTGACCTGGTTTTTAGAAGCCGCATATGTCTCAGCTTAAGAGCCTGCAGGCGCTGCAGCAAGGGGGGTCCACTGCAGGCAGACCCCAACACCCAAACTGCCTTGAATCGGCTCCCTGTCTCCTGGGCCCAGTAATAACCGAACCCTTGGCCTCCACCTCGGCCTCCTGAACCTGGAACACCTTTTCCAGGGAGCTCTTGTGACACTGCACGTGTCACCGAGTCTCAAGTGTCTCCCACGGAGTCCCGCCAGACCTTCCGGGGCCTGTCTGAGACATGGGAACTGGAAGTTTAGGGTGGCCCTGGCTGTGCCTGTCAAGCAGATGGGGACCTTCCTCCCCGTAACCGTGCAGCTCCCACAAGCCCTTGTTTTAGTACCCTGTCTATTTACCCAAGGGCGGGAAACTCCTGGAAGTCCAGGCCACGGTGTCCCTCATCTCCCTCACCCACGCCTGAAGGGATCTGACAAGGAATGGAGACGGACTTGCTTGCACGCCCCAGCGGTAGATAGCTTGCTGCCCTTCTTGCGGGGAGCCCTGCCCAATCTCCAGAAAGCTTTTGGAACAGTCCCGGCAGAAGTACATATTTCTAAAGAGTGGTGCAGACTTCAGATACCTAACTACTGGGACAATGGACCCAAGGAATGTCCCCAGGAGTCTCCTGCCGGGGAAGGAAAAGGCTGCAACCCCCGTGCCAGCCAGGGCTTGCTGCATGGGGCCAACTGGAAGCAGAATGGCTTCCTGATTCACGACTCGCCTGCCTTTTAAACCCAGACCTTGGGTCGGGACTCCCAAGATGGATGTGGCGGCCCCTGGATCTTTTGTTCCTCTTCCCATTGTGACCACACTGTCGCCTTTCACTGCTTTCCACTGCTATTTATCTTGGAGTAGAGAGGACAAGGATGACGTCTCGGCGTACTGAGGTGGACCCTCGCTTCTGAGGGCCGCCCGAGTTCAGGCTTCTTCCCTTAAAGCTCCAGGAACATTTTGACTGGGAGAAAGGACCTTCTTGTTCCTGGCTGAAATCTGTCGCCCTGCCCTTTCTATCTGCCAGCCCCAGCTTTGTCCTGGAGGACCCCAGAACCCCCCAGAGCACTCCCGCCCCCACCCCAGTCTTCCAGTCTGATCTCCAGGATAAAGAGCCCAGTGTGTGCTACTCTCACAAGACACCACGTGTGCAAGGCAGGGTGGGGCACCCCCGGCCTAGGAGCCCAAGGTCCTGATTACCACACTATCCCTGCTGGCTCCTTAGCTCACTAGACACGCTTGTGACTTGTGTCCAGGAGTTGCTCTTGTTCCTGTTACCTCCTGTCCCCCACGGTTTCTGGAAGGCTGTGATTTGATGTCCCCAGATGCACATCAGCAAACCGGAACTCTCCCTTGAGATGCTCCGTTGGTAACGTGCCTCCTGCTGTCAAGTGGGATCTCACAGCTGCGGAGCAGCCCTAGGGTTTTTCACCTTGCAAACTCTACACCTGAACACCACCTGTTTCCTCCACCTCAGGAGCCCTGAAATCTGCCTTTCCTATCACAAGGGTGTGGACCTTCTCTGGCAGGCCACCAGGACACGAGGATTTCTGGTTGTAGCTCCCCCTCTGCCTCAGGCTGAGTCGTTATTACCATGTTTGCCTCTGTTCACATCTCTGTTCCCCCAGACCTCACAGATCAATTCAGAGCCCTTCCAACCCTGCTTCACCACATGGTCCTGAGACTGGATCTCCTACAAAGCCTTGCTGGACCCTACAGCCCCCAAGGGCAGTCTGCTTCCTCTATAATTTGTCAGGAAGTCCTAGGACATGGTGGTCGCCAATCATGAGCTGTATTTCTTCCTCTCTCCTGCCTGTAGTTAGCCCTGAGCACTTCCTTCATGACTGGTTACACCCTTCCTACCACCACCAAGAGACAGGCTCCTGCAGATGGACCAGTGATGTTCACTCACAGCCCTCCCAGGACCCCATGTCTACAGAGAGGGGTGGATTCCTAGATTCCTAAGGCGTGTGACCTTATCCTGGCCCCTCCTTGCTCCAGGCTCCTCTGGCACCACTACTATTCTCTACTTACGAGGCCATCACCCTTCTCTGTGTGAGCTTTTGAGGTCAGGATTTGTCATCACGTGGGACAGTGCTCAGGGAGCTGATACGTAGATTAGAATTGGACTGAACTGATGGTCAGTGCTTGGGTGGGTGGATGTGGTTGCCCAACAAATGATGAATTGGTGAATGGTAAGTGCTGGAAATGGAGAAATGGGTAGATGCGTGACGCTGGATATGGATGGAAAGCAGATGGACATTTGGTGAATGGTGGTTGGTTGGAGGGGACTGATGCATGGTTTGGGATAAGCGTTGGATGGATGAAAGAAGCGAGAAGGGTGGGGCTGTTAAGATCTGAAGCAGCGTGGGCTTTGTCTTGATTTTCCTGCTCTTCGTCCCCCATTTCCCTAACCCCAGCCCTCGCCACAGCCTCGCCCAGCTGATCACATCCTCCTTTGCCGTCACCACCGAGTTCTTTTCTATTCTCCCCTCTTACTCCAACCCTCAATGCTGCTTTATTTGGTCCTCTCTCTTTATCTGGCTGTATTTGATTCTCTCTCTCTCTCTCTCTCTCTCTCTCTCTCTCTCTCTCTCTCTCTCTCTGTGTGTGTGTGTGTGTGTGTGTGTGTGTCGGTGTGTGTCAGTGTGTGTTTCTCCCTCCTTCCCTCCCTCTCCCCCACTTTGTTTTCACTGGTTTGATGCACCCTAGCTAAGCTATTCTTCCCTGAGCTCACGACTCCAGCCCTTCCCAGACTCCACTGATCTAGTCTGAGGTATCCACTCACCTTCAGACATTTTCCTTTAGAAATGTCTGACCAGCTCTGTACCTTCCTCAGCACCACTCAGCATCTTTGAGAAACACTCTCCGAATCACGTATTCCCCCACTTCTGCTTAATGGTCTGCCATTGCCTTAGATAAAGGTTCAAATCCCACCATGGCCAGAAGACCCTACATCATCCGCAGAGCTCTGATCTGCAGAGGCATGGAAGGCGATAGCGGTGATGGAGACAGGGTGGCCATTGGTGTGGAACCGGGCCATGGGACCAGGATGGAGAAGAGGCCGTCCGTCCCTGTGTGTCCTGAAGCATGCCAATACACCTCTGGTGGGTCTTCCCCCTGCACTGAGCTGTTCTCCATTCCTCTGTCTTTCTAG